GCCCCTTACCCCCTTCAGCGTTGTGTAGACTGGCACTGTGACGTTTCTGTAGATGAGACTGGTAAATGGCCCAGAAGCTGCACGTGAGAAATTCGAAACTGGGAAAATTCAGAAAGAGAGATTAAGAGAGTAGTCATACAAACTGGTGAAAAGGAGCAGATTTTAAGAGAGGTACATGCATTTATGTAAAACTAATGTAGCCTCTTGGAGCCTCTGGTAAGAGATGACTGCCATTCTGGACAGTTCAGCTCACAAAGGCTAGAGGAGGTGTTATTAATTACTACGTCCCCTCGAGATGGCTGCAATGTCTCCTTAATTAACCTATAAGACACCTTACCCACCCTCTGTGCCTCATAGTGCAACGGCAGTTGAGTGCACCTCACAGTAAAAATTACAGGTGAGGTGATTTCAGTATGCTAAGAGGAAAAAAACATGGTGAATTCCAGCTTTACTGAGACATGTGAAATTGTTTGCCTGACTGCCAGGATAATCACAGACCACCCCAGACAGCTGTAGAGCTATCCAAACGACTTGGCAACAGCTTTCATTTTCCTGTTTCACATCCTCCAGACCACTGTGTCCAAACAGGTGGAAGCCACACTGGGCAAGCTGTTCCTTGCTTCACTGAGGACTGTTTCCTGGCTATCTTCCACTCCCAGGTTGGTAAATTGCTAGAGTTCACAAAAGCAGAAAAGTGATGGTGGAATAGCAAGGCTAAAGGCAGACCACAGGCACACATGTGGCAATACAGTTTCAGTAAAGGCGAGAAAGGATAGAAAGAAGCCCTCCTAAACATGTTACTGAACATAGGAGCTCATACAGCCCAGCAGTGATCATCTCTAAGTCCAGATCTATCTTCCTCCCTTCCCTCTTCTATCATCCCTACCTGCAAACTCAAATCTGCTTTGAAAACAAGCAAGAGAAGAAGGAAATGTGAACAGAAGGAAGCTCAGGTCCCACGGTGTCACTGTAAATTCTCTCTAAGGAGGTATCTTGTCTAGAACTTACAGCAGCTGGAAGCATCATTCACTGCAGCCACTTCAGACAACCTCAGGCCAGATTTGGCCACAGCATAGATGCGACTCTCCTGAAATGAGACCGTCAGCAATGATCAACAGCCAGAAACACCATTCCTGCAAAAAGAAACTCTCGTGTCACACAATTTTATAATCCTCTGGGCAGGAAGGATGGATCCATCAGATGTTGGGTGAATAGTGCGAATGTTCCTCTGTGTGATTCCCTGACCCAAACTCAACAGAACTGGCTTAGAGGTGCTACAGAGATGACATCCACAGACTGGGACGCCTACATAGAAGTGCCAATATGTGACTGCATCACAGCTTAGAAAAGCTGCCTTTTAATTTATTTTAATGCTTTGTTGATGAAAAAGAGCCCTAATTAAGGTCAGTGTATAGAATTCATCACCATCCTAGTCTCTGATAAAGAAATGGAAGCAGTGCGGGAATGCTCTGGGTAAGCCTGGGCCTTAGCTATAATCACATATGGGGTTTTCAGTTCAAAGGACCTCCAAATGCTTCACAAACTATAAAAATTCCAAGGGGGAACTCCGACCTGTAAATAATGCAGTGTTATGACTAAGAAATCAACCGATCTGAAATGGATAAAATCAAAGTTAGGAATCTGAATCCTCTTGTTGCTTCGTAGAACATACTAAAAGCAAGCAAGCACCATCAGATAACAGGCATAATACATCCACAAGAAATTACCTGCAGACTACATAAGTCAGGCACACCAAAGCAAGGTATAACAGACTTGGTATTTTCTGTACATGCATGCATTATGACTTAATCTGTAATGAAATGTTATGCACAACTTTTTCCACAGACACTTCCTATTCAAGACACATAACAGATATTTCTTACCAAGCAAGCTGCTATTTAATATTCATCTTATTCTTGACTGTTATATTTAAATATGTATTACTTAGATCTACTTATATTACTCTGATCTGAAGACAAAATAGTGGGTTTTCTAATGAGCTTTCACGTAGTGTTCTTGACTGTAGTACCACAGTGCTCCGTAAGAATTAATCCCTGGGAGAAACACAGAGGGGTGGTATCTCCATTTGCCGTAAGAGGAACCCAGGCCTACATTCTATAAAGTATACACTATCTTTAGAGGACTCTGAGATGTCCAGGATCTGACTTTTCTGAAAATTTAGCATTATTTAACAGTGTTGAAACACAGCTGAACAGCAGAAAAGTGCTTAGCACTTTTCTAAACTTGCCTACTTGCATACGGATAGCAAATAGTATAATAGTTAATGGATATTCAGAAGATATGACGATCACCTGTGAATAAATTCAGCTTAAGGACCTAGAAAAAAAACTTAACATGGGAACTCTAGATCAGAAATCAAAGTAACCCCTCCTTCCAAATGAGTACATTGCTCACTACACCTTTCTGATTTCTGCAACAAATAAAACAGAGGTCTTGAAAGCATCAGTCTCTTATTATGCTATCCAGCTTCATCTCTACAAGAATCCCATAATACGTGCTCAGTGAAGTAGGATTCCTAGAAAAAATTAGGGTTAAATTATGCATCACAAAGGATACATACAAAGATGACAGACCAAAGTTAAGTTTTCACAGGAAATAAAACACATTAGAAAACATGAATATTAATATTGACCACTTGAATTTGCATCTTAAACCTTTCGTTTGTCTGTGTGTTTAAAAAAGCATATTGGAAATAACTGAGCTGTCTCAAGTTCATCATAGAGTTCCACAGTCGGACTGTCACACTACCAAACACCCCAAGCATTCAAACAAACAGGTGAGAACAACAAACTGTCATCTCACACATGAAGCAGGGGGTAAAAGGCCATGTATACACACTGTACCAGTGGGTTTCATAGTATTTTCCTGATAGAAAGATATAGGAATGCTGAGGTCTAATCTCTACGTATATGCTACAGTTTACAGCTTCTCTGACCTTGAACCCACTCAATGCAGGCCTTTCACACACCCTCATTACTCACATTTTCTATCTTAAACACATGACAAACTGAACTAAGGATGAACTTTTAACCACAGTGTAGCACCTCTTAACTATAATTTTCATTTCTCACTAAGTTTTGAGCATTATCTGCTTCCATGAAGCTTTTTTTTTAAGAACAAAAAAAGAACAAAAAGAAAAGTCTCACTGAAACCAGCATACTCCATGATCTGATACCGGTTGACCAGGCAATTTAGTAATGAGACTGATGTCACCAGGAAACTAAGCAGAGTTCAAGCCTAGCCACTGATTACTAACAGATGGATGGCCCCTCTTCTACTGATGCCCTTGCATTTCTTACCCATGATGGGAATCTGTGCAGCGGTGGCGTGGGAGGTTTGCCTCCTGGATTGAGTGCATCAGCCTCAGAACTCTCAGCTTCCTTCTGTCCCGCAGATATGTGCTTGACCTCCTCACATGTTCCAGCTTCTCCCCTCACCTGTCCACCTTCTGTCTCCATCTCTTCCCGCACCCCATCATCATCATCGATGTCCGTCTCCTCTACTTGCCCATGGCAGACTGGGGAAGTTGTTATGGGCTGGAAGGTGCCAGCCTCTAAGCTCATTATGCCATGGAAAGAACCAGCTCCTGGCTGGGGCTGACTGTAATGTCTCTTGGCTAGCTGGATACTGTCTCTTGGTGTACTGGTAGCCCGTGTTTTCGGAAGGGTCATACTACTGCCAAGGCCACGTTCCCTCACTGGACAGATAAGATGTGACGAAACAGATGATGCTGACACTACCAGGGGTGTCTCGACAGCCTGGAGATGGCTCTCAAGGCTGCTCAGTATTTCTCCCGAGGAAGTGGAGTCCAGCCGGTGGGAGCGGAACCTGGCACTCAGTTCATCAGAGGAGCTGGCTCTACTCAAAGTCACTTGTTTCAAGGTGCTCACAGAGCTACGGTTTCCCTCCAAAGAAGTTTGGAAAGTCAAAGACTCAAGGATTTTTGTGGGCTCAGCCGGAGGGTCCAGTGATGTGGGATGGGAGCACCCTAAACCATGTTTGGAGTTTATTGCAGAGAATATGTCCTTCTCTGTGGAGAGATTCCAGCTCGATGGGTCAGCCATGAGTTGCAGCGTGCTCTGCGAAAGCAGAGACTGATCCTCTCCATCCAAAGTGTCCTTGGCCAGGACTAAGTCTGCTGCAGATAGGACATATTTTGTAGATCCTGTCTGACAAGCTTGTTTGAAACCAGGTGCAAGGAGCATAGATTTCTGCTCTGTTTTCTTAGGAAAAGAGGCCTGTGGTGTTCTGGGCTCCACAGAATTATAGCTCCAAAGAGATTCAAACTGAGGAATGCTGGTTATATCTACAGTGGAGGAAAAGATATGGTTAGATCATTCACAAAAGTTACTTGCTAGAGTAAGTTGCTCATGCTGGGTTTATTTCAACAACAGACATATTGGAATAGGATAGTGGAGAGACCCTTGCCAGGTTAGGACTCTATAAAATAGAAAAGAGATGCCTGGAAACAGCTGTGACAAGGGTGTATTTTACGGGAATGACACAAACAAGATGAAAAGGAAACGATTAATCACTGTTTGTTTCAAAGGTAGAATTAAGGAACACTTAATGAAATGATCAAGCAATATGTTTTAAATTTACAGAAGTTTGTTCCCTGTGCCTTCAGTTGGGATACTAAAAGGCAGTATGATGGGCCTAGCTTCTCTCCAGTGGGTTTTTTTTCATTAGAGTATGGAGAAATGTGTACAAACCTCAGAGCAGCAGAGGATGCTATTTACCAAAGGCACCAGTGCTGAAGCCACATGCCTCTTGCCCTGTGGCAAGCTCCTATATTAGCTTTGCAACCACTAAGCTGAGACTTTTCCCCAGAACTTGTCTTTACGTTACAAAGGAATATTTTGGTAAAAAATATTCCAAATGTACACAGAGCTTTCAGACAAACAAACACCACAAGCTCTTCCTGAAGATAAACCAGCTCAACCTGTCCATATTTACTGTCTATTTTGGTCTCAAAAAAAAAAAGTCCTTGATGGGAATAAAACTCAGGCCTTCCCAGCACTAAGCTAAGGGAAACAGGCCACAATTAGTATAATGCCAATCTAACTTCTATGGATTGGGATGGGGATAAAGAACTCAAGAGCGTGTTCATGCCTCCAGCCCATCTCAATACCACAGTGCACCTACATGAGAGTTCCTGCAAGGCTGAAAGAGGATTCAGAAGCAAAGCTCCCTACATTTCTCTAGGCCATGCACATCAGGGCTTCACTCTTTCTGTTACCACAGGCCCAAGAAATAATCTAGATCTCTTTTTACAACCAAAAAAAAAAAAAGAAACCTCCATTCTACTTCACAGCTAATCTCTTCAAGCACTCTTTTCTAAATCTGTAGAAAAATCCTCTAAGTCCAGGTACACATCAGCTCCCGCAAGATAGGACATGGTCACCAAGCTTTTCAGGTTTAAGCTGATCTTTGTTTTTATATATTATCACACTGAATAGAATCAAGTCTTAAGACACTTTGGAAATTGCACAAACATGGACGAGTGTGGTTCCATACGGCTGTCACTGAAAATGCTGCCTGAACATCCAACTGTACAGGCACCACTATTGGGCTTTACAAGGAAGAAGAAAACTGAAGATGCAAAGCAACAGAGGGAAGGCCAAGCAGCAGGGGGAAAAAAAATCATTTTTGATTGTGGAGAAAATGCAACACACTTAGAAACACAGCTGAGGAAAACAGGAGGAAGACAACCATCAGTGCCTGACCTTGGCTCTAGAGTCACAAGGAACAGAATGTTAATAAAATTATTCCTAGCACATACTTCTGTCACACAAACACTGGCACAAATTCTTCCCTATGCTTGAGACAAATCATTAGCGTGGACTGGGGGAAAAATAAAAAGGCCATTCATTTTAAATATTACACGAATTAATTTTAAATATTGCTACTATGCTTGTAGCTTCCGAAAGTGACAGGAAACAGAGCAGATGAAGTTGTTACTATCAGCATGACAAGCAAAAGGAAAATTGTCTCTTTGTAGGGGCCTCTCAATTTAGCCTGGGACATGGAGACTAGTGAGTAGTGAGTGGACAGGGCAGAGCTGTTTACTACCCAGAGAGCTGGGATCCAGGAACACTTAATACCAGATTATTAACGCAGCTTACCAGCCATTCTCTTTCTGTAAGCAGCTACAGCCAGAGGGGATAAGAAAAAACCCACTCACAAAGCATCTAGTTAGAAACATGGTCGGATTTAGAAGGAATTTTGCCCTGTTCCCTTGTTGTGAAAGGAAAGGAATGCCAGAAAAACTTCTGCAGGACAGAAATGCCCCCCACGTGCATGACCAGTGAAAGTCTGGGAAATCAGCTCATGTTACATGACTAAATCAAATCAAATTAAAAAAAAAGAAGAAAATAAAAGAAAGAAAATGAAAGAAAAGGTAAGAAAATGGTAAAGAGAGAACTTCCTCATAAAAATGAGTTACGGTGAAAAATGCTGATTTCAAGTCCTGGGGACTAAAGTGCTCCATCTGTCTACCAACCAACCAACCAAGAACTGCAGCTGTTCACTGTTTTCTCCACTCCAATCCAATGGCACAGAAGAACCCAGCTACTAAAGGCAGAACAGGCAGCTGCTGCCTTGGTTCATTCTATCTAAAGTAACTCAGCTCACAGGCCAGCAGAAATGACAGTTCTTTGAGGATAAGGATACTCTGTATGCGAAGTCAAATTCCTCATGGGCTTGTATCCTGCACCACTGATGTCAGTGGAGACTTTTGCCATGGATTTCAGTAAATGCCTTTAAATCAAGAGCTACATATTTTATTTTAGTGGCAAGCAGACTCTCAAAAAAGGGGCCTGCATGCAGTCCCTGTTGGGAGACCAATTAAGAGCTTTTGAGGTAGATAAGCAGTATTAGTCCAATTGTAAAAATGGGCCCACTGAGGAACAGAGTAATCCTGCTGTTTGCTCACTGTCGGAAATACTGATTTGTGGCACAATTAAGACTACAATCCAGGAATCCTGACGTCCATTCCTTGCTTCCAGTATGAAGGCTACAATGCCAGGTGAACACATTTACCTTGCAACGTATCCTGAAGGGCTTCAATTTGTTCCGTCAACCTCTGATTACAGTTTTTCAGGTGGTAATTTTCTAGCTCAAGCTATGAAATAATAATAAAATAATAAATATTGAAAAATAATGAAAAAATGTGTGTGCATTCCACTCCTCAGAACAAGTCTTCGTCTCTACCCACATTCAAATGTCAGAATAGGAAAGGGAAGAGAATGGGCAAAATTCACCCAAAGCCTTGGAATTCTCCTCCACAGCTCCACTGGAAAAAACTCACCTGTACTTTGCCACCCCCTCTCAGACAGCCTCTGTAAATGCATTATACTCCTTACACAAATCTTAATGTTCTTCCCTGCTACTGTTTATCGTTCACCGTTTCAGAAATAGCTGTTATGAAGAAGAGAATTAAATAACTATAAACCCTGAGCTGTATTTTTCCCCTTCATCTCATATGCAGCAACAGGGCAATCTAAGGAAATTTTAAAAATACACCCCACAGACTGCTACTCTTTGCTGTCTGGCTCCAGCAAATCCCCTTTCTGAAATAAGCTGGGAAATCTGTGCTTTGACTTGAAAGACTGGACAGTCTCACTCCCAGATGTAAACCACTACTGCATCTTTAAACCTGGGTGCTGATCCTGTACTATCTTTCAGCTACTTAAAAGGGTATTGAATTGGGCCCTTATGGAGGCCTAAGTCCACAGGAGGGATAAAAGGGAGAGACTATATGTGACAATGCTGGGCAGAAGGAAAACAGCACTGGTCAGGGATGGTAAATTAAGGAAGAGCAAAGGATGAAGTAGTTGCATCACAGCTGCTTTCACAGAAAGAGGGGCAGAAAGTGCACCCAGAGAAAAAGGTAGGAGCAAAGGAAAACTGGGGGAAGCCACCTCTGCCCATTAAATAAGATAATTTTCTTCAGAGACTGCTTTTGGCATTAAGGACCTAGCAGCCCTTTGCAGCTTGCCCAAAGCACTCTGCAGACCTCAGTGGCACATGCAACTCTAGCCCTGCAACCGCGTGCGCTGCCAAAGAGACAGAGGGCCCCTGTGGCAGACTGTCCCCTCAGGCTACAGCCGTGCAGGAGCCCTCAGGCAGCGCAGCCACCGCACCTCACCACAGGCCTCGAACCTGGCAGGGGGCTGCACTCACCTCTCTCAGCTTAAAAGTTACCCACTCTTTGATCTTGGCAGCTTTCTCTTGAACAATTTTTGCTTCCTCAGTCCTCAACTGTTTCTGTGACAGAAAAAAACAAACCAAAACAAAAAATTAGGATAATACAGTTAACAAGTGTTTTCAGAAAGCTAGTATGTCAGAAACAACTTATACATTGAAGCCTTTTCCATTCCGGGCCTATGATTTAAGACCGTTTTACCCTGTCCTTGAAAACCAAGCCATTTAAGTCATCTTACATGGTCCGTGGGGTCACTTTTAGAGGACTGTTTCAACGGTTTATTGTAGAATGGCAAAATCCAGCTTGGGTGATGACTGTCCACCTCCCACAATTTCATTTGTGTACAGTCTCCAACTTCACCTGCGCTAGGTGGCTTCACTCTGTTGCTGCTTGCCACTGAGCAGTTGCAATGTCCCCCTACGTACACACTCTTTGCTGGTTAAAATTGATAAGAAATTTAGTAGTACCTATATGTGATTCATAAACCTTTTAATCCTTCCAAGCAAAAGGATTCAATAGCTGCAGTTCAGGTGCAGAGAGCAGATGTTAGCATAAGTTGGAAACTAACATCAGCATTGCATTTGTAACATACACAATATTCTCCTTGAGGAGAGGAGTAAAATAAAAAATAAACAAACACATCAGCATGTTAGGAGACTCGAGAGGAAACAAAACAAAATGCACCAAATTTGACATTGGCCACAAGGTCTATTAGTAGGTTTTTAGAAGGTGCATGTTTACTTGTCCTTTTAAACAGATTTTAATCTCACACAAAGGCTTTATGGGAATACTGTTGATCTGCACAATCAACGTTTTTCCCTGGGCATCTGCTTAGGCAGTGTTGCTACATCATTTTTGCAGCTGTGTTCTCATCTGCCCTTTCTCCTTTTCTGTGCATTTCCTTCAAAAAAAGAAAAAGATGGATTGATCCCATGATCACTTGTAGCCTTCTATTCACCTCCTGTGCAGGTTCAGGAGAAGGAACATCCCCAAAATGTCCTCTACGTATGAAGAGACGTAACTAAAAGGAGAAATCAGTTATAGGAACAA